TGATGAAAAACAGGTTATTTCCATATTCTAAAAGTATTTCCCCACAGAATCCTCATTAATTACAAAGAGAAAAATAGTAATTCTACAGTAAAGAAACCTAGCAGACAGTACTAAATGACAGAAGTCAATGTCATCAGTAATAGGATAAGCAGACATCATGGGCCTCTGGATATAACGTATTAAGAACAAAACATCATTTCTATGGTATTCCTGTGAAAAATGAATGTTGTGAATCTAATTATGAGGAAACATTAGACAAACCCAAATAACTGTTCAAAAATGTGAATGTCATGAAAGGCAACAACTGAGGAACTGTTCCTGGTATAGAAGACTACAGAGATATGACAACTAAATACGTGACCAGGATTTTCTACTGATGTAATGGACATTATTAGAGCAACTGGAGATACTTCAGTAAGGTCTGTATATTATATAACAGTATTGTACAAATGTTAATTTCCTTATTTTTATTAACTATCCTGTGGTTATGTAAGCATATATTATTGAATTTGGGAAATACATATCGCATAATTTAAGGACAAAGGGACATCACACTTAAAAATTGCATTCGAACATTTCAGGAAATAAAATATGTGTATATAGGAAGAAAGAAAATAATAAAGCGTGATAAATGTTAATATTAGAGAAATCTTCATGAAAGGTTTAAAGGAATTCTTCACAGTATATGGCAATTTTAAGTCTGAAATTATATCAAATGGTAAAGTGGCAAGAATCAAATGAATTATGTGTATGAAAGTAATTTTTAAACTGTATGTTACATGAGCACTTCATTATTTTCAAACAGATCATTAGACAAATCTATCTTTATTAAATTAACTGGTCACATACCCAAACAACTCTAGTATGGGGTGAGCTACAAGTTTCACGTGTCTATTATTCTTAAACCATGGTCCTTGACTCTGTACACCTTCCCCATTAAAACATGAAAAAGGGGCCAGGCACATCGGTGAGGTGCCTATAGTCACAGCCACTAGGGAGGCTGAGGGAGGAGGATAGCTTGAGGTCAGGAGTTCTGGGCTGTAGTGTGCAACTGCACTAAGCTCAGCATCAGTATGGGGACCTTCCTGGAGCCAGGGACCAAAAGGTCGCCTAAGGAGTAGTGAACTGGCTCAGGTTGGAAACTCCCGTGCTGATAAGTAGTGGTATCACGTCTATGAATAGCCACCACACTCCAGCCTGAGCAACACAGCAAGACGAAGACGAAGAAGATGAAGATGAAGAAGAAGAAAAAGTAATAAGATCTTAATAAAACATTACACCTACTATTTTGTTACCTTAACATACCTTAAGAATGGATCTTAGCTATCTTCCCCTGTCGAAACACACACATAAAAAGCACAGTATCCAATACACAATTTCCTGGTAGCCAAGGCTCTAAGTGCTCTCTTGCCTTATTATTTTATTTTCCTGACTCAAACCCTTTTATTTTGAACCAAGTTACTTGCTCCTCTCTGTAATGCATCACTTACAAAAAACATTCAAATTTCCAGTGAGGACAATCACAGGTAATTACTGCATTCTACCCTTTGCCATCCAACATGAACAGTTTTCTATTACTTAAATGTTTGTTTTCAGATTTCTACAGTTTATTTACATAGGCATATATTTTTATTCTTTAATGAAAGTGGTTTTGATACATTCTTTGTTTAGAAACTTTCTTAAAATGGAATAATAATTAAAGACATGATGAATTAGAAGGAAGGCAGAACTGCTAAATAAAACTAACAGCTGGTTCCTTGAAAAGATAAGATGACTAAAGTAAAGCTATAGAGCAAGTTTGAACAAGAATAATTAAAAAGTATCAATAAATATAATACATACAAAAAAATCAAAATGTTAAACAAGAATAAAAACCAACAGTAAATACAATTTATTAGAAACCAAAACTGATTATCACATTTATATAATTTATTACATTTAGGTCAAAGAAAAACAACATAAAACCTATATGAAAATCAGGTATCTGATCCTAATAAAAATTGTTAATCTAGGAACCGAAAATAAAACAAAATCACACTAGTTCACCAACAATATTTTAAACTCGGGTTTTTAGGTAACTTAAAAACTGTTAGAGTGGACATATAATAATCTTTAGGAAAGCAACACAGTAAAGGTCCCTACTAAAGGGCATCAGCACATTAAATGCTTCTAGAAGATACCCCAGGATCAAAAACAAATGGGGGGAGGCAGTATTTAACTGGTTAAAACAAAACTTATTTACATGAAAGAAGACTTCTTCCTCAAACCTTGAGGAGGGAAGGGGAGGAGAGGGGAGGAGAGGGGAGGGGAGGAGAGGACAGGAGAGGGGAGGAGACTGCAGCCCCAGCTGACACCATGATTTCATACAGTACTGTGAGAGATACTGGGCCAGAGGTTCCTAGCTAAACCATACCTGAATTCCTGGCCCATTGAAGCACTGAGATAATAATTTGTTTGTTATTTTACATCACTAAGTTTTCTGGATAATGTATTATACAGCAATATACAACTAATACAATTCTTAACAAATGAGTGAGAAAGACACATACCCTAAAAAGGGTAAAAAGAGTAACAGTACATGAAATGATGTTGCAAATTAAAATAATTTTTCACCTACAGAATCGAAAAATGTAAAAATTTTCCCAGTATGTATAGACTGCACAGGAAATAGGTATTATTCATACTCAAATAATGTGCATTTAAATTGATAAGAATCTATCTCAAAGGTAGCTTATATCAAGATTTAAATGCTCTCCTAAAATTCTACTTTTTAAAAATTTATTTTGATAAAGTATATATATGCATTGTTTGATAAAGAAAAAACTCTCAATAGCTAAAAATAGGATAATGACTTAAATTAGGGTACATCCATACAATAAAATATAATGTAATCATTGAAGGATGAAATAAAACTTATTTCCCTCTTTCTTTCTTGAGCAGGGATACAGAGGGCATGATTTAATATTGTGACAGAAAAAGGCTTGATGTAGTGAGAAGCTGATACTATGATAGAGAGTGAGGATTAATATCGTGAGAGAAAGAGAGAGAGAGAAAGAAGGGGGAAGGGTTTAATACAGTGATGATAAAATGTAGCAAGGCACTGTGGAGTCACAGTGTCTGGAGTGAAATCCTTGTCCGTCTACCCACTTACTAACTATGTGACCCTGGAAAAGTTAATTTAGAATCTCTTTGTATATAGGTTTCCTTATCCAAATAATAATAGTATCAATCTCACAGTACAAATGGTTAAGAACTATGTAAAACTACTCATATAAAAAAAACACTTATAATAAGGATTTGATAAGTATTTGCTATCATCATTAACTACTAATCCAAAATAGTTGAATGTGTGGAAATTCAGAAGACAAATATAATGACGATGGAGACCTCATCATGAAAAAATATAGAATTCCCTACTTTATGAACAATAAAAGTTTAAGGAATTTAGAACAGCAAGATTCGCATGGCTCTGGAATCATCTGGGATATTTCACACAGAAGAATTTGACCTGAGTTTTTAAATATGTAAATAATTTAGACAGTAGGAGAATGGGAGTAATAGAAAGGAAGCTGAATAAAGCAGAGAGGTCATAAAGAAGAACTAGTTCAAGGATAACAATGTAGAAAGTTTGGAAAGCTGAGTATTTGGAAAACAGGAAAGACTGGAAGTTTCTGAGTGCACAGGTGAACTAGACAGGTTTTATTGTCTAGGTTATAAAGAATCATAGAAGATTTTTGTGCATGAGGAACACAACCAAGAACTTTGGGATTATTCTAGTGTTAGTGCAGAAGAGATTGGAAGGGAGACGACCAAGGTACAGGCTTACTAGTGGTTAAGCCAAACAATGACAGGACCTGACTAGAAGAGTACTGATGAAAAAGGAAAGAAGGGATACATCAACAAAGCAGTGAGAAGGAAAAAGAAAAATAAACCAAGTTTGACAATGAGTAGATATCAGGGGTCAAAGAATGGAATAGTCTGAAAACCATGAGAAGGAAAAAAGCAAATCTGAAGGTCTGGGAACCAACAGGAAGGATTTCCATCGGGTCTTTAAAGTTAAGTCAGGGTTACATAAAATGCCTTGCCAATTTGAGATAACAATGCAATATTAAAATATTAAGATCCAGTGGGCATTTGGCAACATGAGACTAGTATTTCGGAGAGAGGTGAGAATTGGAAACAAAAACTAAAGAATTAAAAACAACAACAAAAAAACTCTATAGAACGTTCTAAACAGTTTAGACCAGATAGACACTAGACTGTATGCTACTTCAGAGCTGCAATCGCCTCTTATTTATTTTTATATCTCTTAATGGTTAGCATTGGTCTTAACACATGAGAGGCTTTCAGTAAAATGTTTCAGAGGTGGGAGGAGTAGAGAAGGGAGCAAGGCTGCATAGCTTGTTAATGACGAAGCGTTGATTACAACGCAAGTCTCTCTACTATACCACAACATAGAATGAAATGGTGTAAGAAATGAAAATAAATGACAAGAATTCAACTTTGGGACTGACGGTTTCTAGGGATGGATGGAAAAAAAACAAGAGAAAATAGCAAAGAAAAGTAACATTATGGGGGAAAATGGATAGTGTTGCATCATGGATTAAAGGAAATTTTTCAAGAAAGGAAGCATAGTCAATTGTATCAAAAGCTCATGATACAGGCAGTGTTTCTCTGTTCCCCTACACCAATGAGGCACAAGGCAAGGAGAGGTCACTTTTTTAAAGTATAAACTAAGAAATTTTAACTTAACTTTCACAGGATTTTAAATACATGTATCATTCATTGTACTGGTTACAAAAGTAATATTTCAATCTTCAGTAAATTTTATCTCTAGAAAACACATATCTAGAAATAATTAAAGTCACTATAGTAGTTGAGCTGAACAAAAATTGGCTCAATAGATGAAATCTGAGGCACAAAGAAGCAACTGAAAAGTAATCATTTATGGTACATGTATTACAATAGCAACAAAATATATGAAATACCAGAGGTCTTACCTTAAATCTTTTGTCCTGTAATACTTTCTTAATGGCAACCAGTTCTCCTGAATCACAAAGTTTGGCTTGATACACTACACCAAATGACCCATTTCCAATCACTTTAGTGTCCGTATAGCTGACTTCTTGTGGCCTGTCTGGACCCTGCCCAGGAGTTGCTACCACTGTGGTCACTTTGCTGCCATCCTTGTCTCCTAAAGGAAGAAAAGGATTTTTTAAAAATGAGAACTGTAGGAATTTAATTAAGAAAACTGCCAAAGTATAGAAAGTAAACTATATTCTTTACTACAAATTACTTTTAAATGTTCATCTCAGTTTATCACATAGGATTATTTCAGTTATTTGTTTTAATTATAAGTAATTTTTTAATCAAATCTGAGCTCTAAATTATCATGCCCCACCCCCCCAAAAAAATCTATGTTAATCTTAACTACAAATTCTCAGGTTGACTATAAACCCTATCATAAGCTATTTTCTTCCTCATTTGTAAAATCTTTCTTTATACTTTAGCAGTCCTAAAGACAGAATCACAGTCTTCTAAACTTAAACTCTAAATGAAGAGATCCAGAAGGTTAGGACCAGAAAGATTAAAATCCAAGATACTGAACATATTCTTATAATCCAGTTGTCCCAAAGACGACAAAAAACTGAAGTGATTTCAAATAAAGTCTGACTCTTCCCTAGATAATCCATGTCAAAACCATTAACACCAAGAAAAGATTTCAACAACTCTGAATTAATAATTTCACTGAACAAGTTGCTTGCAAAATCTCGCAAATCTAATTCACAAAACAAAGGATTATTATTTTAATTAACATAAATTAATAGATTTTAAGAATAGCTGCTGTACTCCACCATTTTAATTGAAAAAACTGGGGTACACTCGGCCGGGCGCAGTGGCTCACGACTGTAATCCTAGCACTCTGGGAGGCCAAGGCAGGTGGATCGTTTGAGCTCAGGAGTTCGAGACCAGACTGAGCGAGACCCCATCTCTACTAAAAATAGAAAGAAATTAGCTGAACAACTAAAATATACATATAGAAAAAAAAAAATTAGCCGGGCATGGTGTCGCATGCCTATAGTCCCAGCTACTCGGGAGGCTGAGGCAAGAGGATCACTTGAGCCCAGGAGCTTCAGGTTGCTGTGAGCTAAGCTGACGCCACGGTACTCTAGCCTTGGGCAACAGAGTGAGAATCTGTCTCAAACAAAAAAAAAAAAAAAAAAAAAAAAAACTCGGTACAATCAAAAATTATGCTTTTCTACTGTGTAACCATATTGCAATAATGAAAACAAAAGCCACAGCTTAACTTGCTCCGGTAAGAGAACTGAAGCAATATAAGCATTTGTGATGACTTTCCCTACTTGCCTCCTCAGGTTGCCTTCTAGAAGAAACACCTTCACATTTCAGGGGTTCAAACACCAGTTATGAAAGCTATCCACCACAACCCTGAGATTTAGCATCTCTTCATTCCCGCTACTAAGCTTGGGAATGTCTATCTCAGCATAGTGATTTGCAAGCACAAATCAGAGAATTCTGCTGAAAAATTAAAAGCAGAGTGGAAAGATAAAACAAGTAGGTCCTACAGATGTTATAACTGAAATTGTTGAGGCCTCTTTTTGAACTGAGTTTTGATGTTGACAACGACTGATTCTTTCATCCTCTTGTACATGCAGGGAAAAAGTACTCACTATCTTAGCAGGAATTAAAAGATTTACTATTTACTCTATTCTCTCTAAAGCAGAGAAACTGCTGAGAACTCTTACAGACTACACTCTCTACTAATATGTTTAGGTGTACTAGGAACTATGGCTCTGGGCTTTCTACAGACTTCAAGCAGCCTAGAATTTTTATTCAGAAATCATCAAGTTCTTCAGGCTACTGTGCCAGAGATATGCAATAGTAGAACTGAAAAGAATGGCAGGGTAATACCAGGGATGACTTGGCATGAACATTAGTAACTCCATGCGGCAGTTAGCAGCTCGTATGCCAAGGAAAAGCACGTCACCATTTGGCATTGTAATTAGCCAACTTAGCAAAAGATAACAACTGTATAAAATTTCACCATTTACAAAGAACTTTCCCATTCGTTGTTTCATCTACTTTAATACCTATAATAAACGTAGGGATATTATATCTACTGTGCAAACAAAGAAAGCAAAACTAAGAGAGATTAATTTACAAAGCTGTAAGTAACAGAACTCTTCACATGCCTCATGCCACCTCTGCTATATTTTACAACATTCCTGCTACCACTCAAAGACTAACTTCACATGCTTTTTCCTACTACCCTCAAAGAAAAGAAGATAATATTTCTGATAAAATAATGTAAAAAGATCAGCTCCAGAGTAAGTATGAGAATAAATGAACAATCTTTTACAGTTTTCAGGCCTCAACTGCGTACTCCTTAATAGCAAGAGTTATTTCCAAAGATACGTTGGCAACATTAGGTTCTAAAATTTATCTCTGCAAAAACATATGGAAAATTAAAGTGTAGAGAAATTGATTCTGTAATATTCAAACCATTTTAATATTTGCTACTAGAGATTGGATTCTTTTGGACCACAGAAATAGAGTAAGCACTACTTCCAGGAGACCAAAATCCTCAAGAAAAACTAGAAATCATAACAAATCTGCCTCATTAAAAAAAAAAAAGTAACCATTTTTCCCAATACTATATTTCCCAGAATACATGGAACAGTGCTTCTCACAGTAATTATATGACACCAGCCAATATAATAAAATTTCTCTTCAAAAAATGCCACTGTCTTGCAGGTGCAACAGCAGAGTTAGTTCAGCTCCAGGCCCTCTCTTTGGCCAGAGTACTCCTGGGATCCTTTATTACAATTAGAATCCACTCACATGGTATGAATTTCCTACATAATTAGAACACAGAATTAAATCTCCTACTTTTTCCCACAATTGATAAATCTTAAAATATAAACCACAACAGACTCCTCATGAAGCAACGGAAAGATGTCATGCAGTAGAAAACCCACTTTCTACTGAAGGCTGTTAAATACAGAATACAATTTTTACAAAAGTAACTTTAGGCATATCCCAAAACGACACTAGTTCTCAATCTCTCAAACATAGGGTTGTACTTGTAAGGAACATCTTATAGAGATATTGTCTGAAGTCTTCTCAAGTTACTCCTCAGATCAATCCACCCTGAGATGAACAAATGTAACACTGTGACATGGACCACATCCAAAGTATGGAGTGAGCATCCTAAAACCCAAAGGTCACGTCGAGGATGTTTAAATATTTAGGAGGTCTCTGGCACTGATACTCTAACTTTGTAAGAATGAAAAATCTCAAAGTTGAACACACTTTGTTCATTTAATATAGCCATTTAATTTGATGTTTCTTTTCTTATAGAGAAAAATTCTTATAATCCAGAGCTGAAAAAGCCAACAACTGAAACATTTTGTAAACTGAGAGTCTTTTAGAGAATATTAATAAATCATACTACTGATACAAACTAAACAAAGTTCTGCCACAATCCAAGAAATACTCTGGTGATCTTCCTGTGGGGAACTGAGTGTGCAATGACTGCCTCTATAAAATCTTCCTTCACCCCAAGAATAAAGTCTCTGTCTAGAAATAACAAAGTTAAAAGTTTGCCAACAAAATCCCAGAGAAACCAGCATGCCACCCATGACTACACAAAAGATACGAAGCATTTCCATGACATTTTCTACCTAATAATAATAGTATTAGTAGGAAAAACAACATTGCCTATCATCTCTCTATCATAAAGAGAAATAATAGATTTTTTAAAAAATGTTTAACAATACAGTGCTCTAATAAATTACTTAAAAGAACCAAAAAGAACCTTATTTTCCAGTATAACTAAGACTGTCAGAAGAGGAAACACTGGCCACTGTCAATTTTTCAGGTTTTTTAAGTCAAAGTGCAAACAACTCTTTACCCTATGCAGCCAGCTAAAGAATTTCTATTAATGCAAAGATATTCTCCCCAATATAAATAAAACTGCTAGAAACATGAAAACAACATGAAAATTAATTAGCAAAGGAAAAGGAACTGAGGCCCACAGAATCAGAGTTAGATGAATTCTAAAATGAACTTATTCCTGTCATGAAATAAGGGCTCTATTTTATGATGTGGAAACTCTAGCCAGAGTGCAACTGCTCTCTTGTACCCTGGAACAAATGAAACTATGAAAAAAGATAGGAAATATCAGCCAAGCAGTTGAATCTGTCAAATCAGCCCTAACGATCAACAGAATGATATAAATTTCAGGGCAATATCTATGTAAACTTCATCTAATGAAAATCTTTCTAATTAGGGCCTTTCCCCTTAGACATGGTTCATATTCACGTGATTCTAATCTAAGGGATTGGGAAAAATAAAAGAACTACTAAATTTCCTTTGGGGATAGGAAAAGCAAACAAAAGGAGAGGCAAGGAAAACAAAATGGACAGATGTCACACAGAGGATGACTTCTGGAGATGTTTCCCTGTAGTGATAACTTCTAGAAATGGAAAGGAAAACATAGGGTGGCAGAGGATAGAGATGACAGAAGATTCCAGAGTCCTTTACAATCACAAGAAGATATCATGCTAAATAGCAGTCCCCAACCTTTTTGGCACCAGGGACTGGTTTCATGGAAGACAATTTTTCCACGGACTGGGGATGGGGGATAGGGTGGGGGATCAGGCAGTGATGCACAGCCATTTCCTAACAGGCCACAGATGGGCAATGGGGTCACTGCCCAGGGGTTAGGGACCTCAGTGCTAAGGGGATTAACAAACATCCATTCTGAAGAACCATAAAATTCCATTCTTCAAAAAAATAAAATAAAATCAGTCAAGTTTTTGTCCTCAGAGAGAGGCATAATGGAAAGAGTATGGTCTTTGAAGTTATACAAAGGTTTGAATTACACATTCTACCACTTAGTATCTATAAAATGGAGATAGCTGCTACTTCACAGGGTTGTGATGATCAAATAACATAGATTAAATAGGTTTTTTTTTTTTAAGTGCATGTCACATTGTGGGTACTCAATAAATTATAGTTTCTCTGAACTTCAAATTATTAGGAGTGGGAACAGAAAAAAACATTATTCTCCTGCTCCACTATGCTCTTTTACCACTCTGCCCTACTACAGTGCTTATCACAATGTTCCATAATTATTAAAAATCTGGGCCCCTCACTGCACTAAGAGCTCTT